TATGTATGTATGTATGTATGTATGTATGTATGTATGTATGTATGTATGTATGTATAATATAATATAATATTATTCCCTATTGCCTTTACTGTTGCCAAGTCAGGGAGGAAAGAAAGCACCAGAAGAGTAAGCTTAAGATGGAGGAAAAGACAACAATTCCGTTTTAGTACTATCAGTCTATTTCCTGATAATGGAAATACAAGAGAAATGTGTGAAGCCTTTAAAATATAAAGAATGCCAGTAGCAAAATTTAACGAAAGTAAATTGGCACATTAGCATCCATGAAATCCAGAGGTTAATATTTTTTTATTTCTTAAAGCAAAGGTATCAAGGCAACTGGGAGGAAGGGTTTTTACCATGTGAGTTTTAAGGTGACTGTGAAGCAAGGTGTGGGAGTTAGCTATGGGTGACTCAGGTATCGAGACAGTCCTACCTGAGCACTGCCTTCCTTGCTATGTAATCTACAGGTGTAGATTGGGGTGGGGTTGGAGAAAGGTAAAAGGAAAGGCGTTCCCCTCTCGAGATTCAGGCTCTGGCGGTGGACACCTGTACAATTCATGTTTTCACTTACCCATGTTGTATCCATAGGGAGATTCAGTGGCTCCATCCTCCAGGCTGGCTAGTATCTCTCCTTTGCCCACGTCACTGTCCCCCACCAGGAGGAATTTTAGCAAAAAGTCATAAGCTTTCACAGGGCTGCCCACGTGGTTCATTTTCTCAAAAAAACCCACCACCACCACAAACGTCTCTGCGGAGAATCACCTCCCAGCGCCCACGAGGGGCTCCGAGCCACCAGTTGTGCCACCGAGGACGGAGGAGGACGAGGAACAGCAGCAGCTCGCGAGCAAAGGCATGTTCGAGCCCACCCTGCGGAGGAGTCCCGACGGGCTGCCGATATCACGACCCCTACAAGCTTGGGATAAGAAGTGACGGGGGAAAAGAAGTGGACGAGGCGGAGGCGTCTTCTCACGGGGACGGCCGCGAGAGGCAAGACCCGGAGGTATTCGTTGAGCGTCCTCGGGACCGAGACAAGGAAGGGCGAATTTCCAGCAGCGCCATCGAGGGGGTAACTCGCCCGAAATTGGCTGCGCAGGTTTGACTCGCGCTGCCCGCAGCGAGCAGGAACCGACGGGAGTCGTGCCCAGAACCAGCCGCGCTGCTCTAGGCGCACCGAAATTGGAGAAGGCGGGAAAGACCGCTCATGACAGCGGACGAGCAGCGCTGGGACAAGCCGCCACCGAGAGAGATTCCGAAGCCTTCGCGCGGGGAGCCGTCGTGTTCCCGAAGACGGCAGCTGGCTCCCCCGCCTGCTGTCGCAGTAGCTCTAGCTGTTGTTGTTGCTACAACCTGAGCGCAGCTCTGTCAGACTGTCCCAACTAATTTGCACCCCTTGCTCCCATTGGAGCACGGGTTTCGTGGCCGCGCCCACTGCCTGTGCTATTGGTACAGCGGGAGTCCAGAGTTCCGAGTTCTGTTGTTATTGGTGAGCGCGGACCCACCCCTCGAGGCCCCACAGTTCAGTTGCTGGGGTACTTCTTACTCAGGATTGGCTGGCAGGTCTATCTGTCACAGGGCGAGAGATGCGGAACGGGGGAGTCTACACTTCGGAGGACGAGGCATGTGTTGTGAAAAGAGGGACACGAACGTGGTTTGAACATCAAGGTCTTGTCAATACGGCTGTCCTGCCTCCGGATTCAGCATAATGAAGAGTACGATGAATAAAGATTAAAAAAACTGTACGATGCTACCGGGATTTAAGATTAGCAATTGTGAACTGTAAATCTTGTTTTATAACCGTCGAAGGTTTGCACACTTCATGAAGCCAGAAACAAGAAAAACCACACTTTTTTGAGTATATCGTGTAAAGGCAGTTCTGAGTGGAGTCATATGTCGTTAATAGTGGTTATTTAACAGTTACTGGATCAAATATTTTTTTTAGCTTTTTGACCTTGGACCGAACTGAACAATTACTTACTTACTCAAGTATTACAATACTATGGAAAGCTACCCCTCTCCTAGAAGAATTAAATATTTTGAGGAATATTAAAAAGGAAGAATATTGTATTTCCCTGGATGAAAAATGGAGAAACATTTTTTAAAGGGAGAAAGCAGCCTCCACCTTTCTTAATAGCTCTCAGCTGATGTTAGTACTTAAGAGATAAAGAAGTAGATAGCTCTATTCTTAAGCAAATACCCTCACCCAAGAGCCAAAACAGGAGGAAAGCCATTAAGACACAATAAGAATTGCCCAACACCCTTTCAAACACAAGCCTCATTGCATCACCCTCAGAAACTTCAACCAAACTTACCACAGACAAACATGACCCCTACATTGCACTATTGGGAGTCTGACAAGAGCCAATAAGATACATGTTCTCGCACAGGAACAGAAAGTTCAAGTGCAAAGCCCCCCCCC